ATTGCTGACCTTCATCGAATTCGAGTCCTAGAACAATACAAACTCCAACCCTTATTCTTGATCCGGATTTAGTTCTCTTCACATAAGGAGCCTTCATCTCCTTATCCTTTATGCAACCTTTTCGATCAGTTTAGAAGATATTGTTGCTGATCCTTGAGACTTATCTTCTTCACGTGCATCTCACATGTATAAGTAAATAACCACTGTGTCTCTCATGATGAACCTGATTCATGACTGAGTTCATTTGTCAATATTCAAAACTTCATCTAAACTTGGGCCAACACACCTACATGATAAACCTGTGCAGATAATAGTATATGTACAATATAACAAAAAAATAAAAGCTAGACATGTAATATCAGGAAGAGGACATGCTAAGGGGATACAAGATACGAGAGATACAGCGGAAATGATAACCAGAACAATGAATATGCCTTTAACCAGTAAAAAAACAATTAAGCACAATGAATAAAATTGCACGGCATCACACTTCGTGCTTTTACTCTCAACCTCACAATGAACAATGATAATGCACGGCATCGCCCTTCGTGCTTTTACTCTCACTCACAGAATAGATCAATAGATACGGCATGTCATCACCCTTTGTGCATTAACACTCACAATATGGCACGGCATCACCCTTTGTGCATTAACACTCATATATAGCACGGAATCACCCGTTATGCATTAACACTCTCCCTTACCACATAACAATGAACAAGTAAAAATAGGGAGATAGGATCAACAAGTACAAGCCTTACTTCAACAACGGTTCCACAAATACCAATCTCAACTTGAAATCAATACTCAATTATCACAGAAGCCCATAAAAACGATAAGAATGATAAATTTAACATATAACTAGTCTGAGCATGGACAACATGATCAAAAGAAGCAATAATTACAAGAAACAAGTCGCACCCGCATGCTTTAACCCGATGACAAGGCATAAGTACTCGTCACCTCACATATACGTTGTACCCAACATCTAAACACGTAGCAAATAGACAAATAAGTCCTAATCCCTCAAGTCAAGGTTAACCACGACACTTACCTCGCTCCAAAGGCCAAACTCAAAGCTCAACCGCAGCTTTGCCTTTCAAACAAGCCTCCGAACCAATAGAATCTAGCAAATTACCAACCAAACGATTCAAATTAAGCTTTAGAAACTACCCATGATTGCAAAGAATTCAATATAGGTCATTATTGAAAAGTCAACAAAAATCAACACCCAGGCCCTCTTGGTCCAAACCCAAAATTCGAACTAAACCCGATTACCCATCACCCCCGAACCCGGTTATGTAATTTGTTTTGGAATCCGACCTCAATTTGAGGTCTAAATCCCTATTTTATAAAAATCTCTTTTTCTACCCAAACCCCCAATTTTCACCATGAAAACACAAGATTATAGGTTGAAATCTTAGGAAAAGTAGTGAAAGATTGAAAGAAACTAGTTTAGAATCACTTACGAATGATTTAGGGAAGAAGAGCTCTTTGAAAATCGCCTCTAGGGCTTCTAAGTTTGAAAATTTGAAGAATGAACCAAAATTCCCGTCTAACTCCCATTTTGATCAGTTGTAGATATCGCATTTGCAACCTGGGGTTCGCAAATGCGAACCCCGCAAATGCAAAGAATCAATTGCAAATGTGAAGATCATCACATCTCTGCTTTTATCGGAAATGCGATGAATTGTTCGCAAATGCGAACTGGCATGATCGCAAATGAGACCCCTTGATCACAAATGCGAAGAATCCCCCCCCCCCCCCAGTCCCTATCGCAAATGCGAAGATCTGGTCGCAATTGCGCAACTGGGTCTCTTCACAATTGCGAAGATCATGGTCAAAAATGCCAAACTGACAGGTTTGCTGCCAAATCGCAAATGCGAGGTCAGAGACCTGCAATAGAAACTGAACACCAGCTGAGTTCTAAGTCCAAATTTCACTCCGTAGCCTATCCGAAGCTCACCTGAGCCCTCGGGGCTCTAAGACAAAAGTGCACACGAGTATGAAAACATCATACAAACTTGCTCGCGCGATTAAATCGCCGAAATAACACCTAGAACTACGAAATGAACACCAAATCAAATGAAATTTTCAAGAAAACTTTAAACTATCTATTTGCACAACCGGATGTCCGAATCACGTCAAACCAACTTCGTTTCTCACCAAAGTTGACATACAAGTCATAAATATAGTATTGGACCTATATCAGGTTCCGAAACCACAGTACGGACCCAATATTCAAAAAGTCAACTATTGGTCAAACATTTCAAATTCATTAATCCTTTAACTTTCAAATTTCAACAAAGTCCGATAACTCGGGCTAGAGACTTCAGGAATTCGATTACGGGCATACCGCCAAGTCCCACATGACAATACGGACCCACCGGGAGCGTCAAAATATGAATCCGGGTTCATTTGCTCAAAACATTGACCGAAGTCAACTCAAATGGATTTTAAGGCAAAATTTTCATATTTTCGCAGTTTTAAACATAAAAGCTTTCTGGAAACACGCCCAGATTGTGCACACAAATCGAGGATGGCTAGAAGGAGGTATTTAAGGTTTTGAAACACAAAATTAGGTTTCAAAACATAAGATGACCCATCGGGTCATCACATATTTGATTTTTTTAATACTTGTTCTACCTCTTACTTGTTGTTTTGCTCTTATATGCCTAGTGAAGTTATTGTCTTCCTTATTGCCTTGTTACTTCCTTAATTGTTGAATTACTTGTAATTGAAGTTGTTATTTAGTGAAATATCTTCTTATTGAGTTGTTGTAGTTGAAGTTGTGGAAGCCGTTATCACATTGAGGCAATGTTTTTAATTGTTGAGATATCTTCCTTGTTGAGCAACTTACATTCTTTGTTATTATTGATGTTTGGTTGAGTCATGGGCTATTATTGTGGAAATATTGGTATTGTTGGTTTTCGACAAGTTGTGGCATATGGTCACTTGTGGTGCGAATTGTTATTGTGTTAATGTGCATGCGGCGGTATAAGGATAGGGGTTAATGTACATACAGCGATATAAAGTGGGATTTATGTGTGTGTTACTAGTAAGGGAATTACTTGAAGCTACGTAGCGTCATAAGGTTGGCTAAAGTGCGTGTAGCTATTTCGGGAAAAAAGTTTTCAAAACTATCTAAATGTAAGGCTCATGCGTGGTATGAGGAAAGATTATGATTGAAATTGAGAAATGTGAATACGAGGCGGTACCTTAGTGTTGATTCTTGTTGTACATGAGGCGGTACCTCGGCTGTGATTCTTGTTATGTATTTCATGTTGAAAAGAGTTATTGGCGGAACAGTTCTTGTTGCTTTTATTCTTCCTTGTCTTATCAGTTTTGTCCGTATTTGACCATTGTGGTTCTCTTTATTTTCTCCCTTCTTGTTATCTCTATGCTTACAACTCTATCATTAGTCTACGTTATTAACCTGGTTTGTTATCATTTATTTCTCCTCTTTCCATTACTTCTTGTTATTATATTTTTGTTCAGTTTTATTATGTCCTAGTAGGTGTGTTGACCTGGCCTCGTCACTACTCTACCGAGGTTAGGCTTGATACTTAATAGGTATCGTTGTGGTGTACTCATACTATGCTTCTGTACATCTTTTTGTGCAGATCAAGGTATGTATGCTCGTACTGGATGTCAGTGCTCGATTGTAACTGTTTTTCGGAGAATTCAAGGCATACCTTCTCCGCTTCTGCAGGCCTCGGAGTCACCTTCTATATCATTTTATTTTTTATTTTTCTTATTCAGACAGTGTTGTTGTAGACATTCTAGATTATTCTGTAGAGCTTATGACTCAGTTATACCGTTTTGAGAAGAGTGTTGTTGAGACTCTATTTTGGGAGTTTTATATGAGTTATCACTTGCTTTAATATTTCTGTTGATTATTTCCATTGATTTATTATTAAAGTCATCTACCAATGTACACTTGGTCGACACCCCAGTCTAAGGTCAAATCGCGTTAACTCATAACCCCACGAGTCTAAATATATAATTAGTTTCGAAGTCCGAGTCCAAATCAGTATTAAAAATCTCAAAATATACTTTCTTAAGGTTTAGATAAAAGTCCCAAATTTTACTCTTTGATTCCATATTTTGGGTGTAAAAATCCATAAAAATTCAAGAATATGATCAAATCCAAGTAAGAATTACTTATACTCAAGATCCGAGTGAAATCCTCATCAAAATCTGTTGATACTCAATTTTTCCCTCATGCTTATAAAGTATTTCTACATATTATTAAAATCTTTTTTTTCATACTTTTGTCAAATTTTTATTACAAGAGTTTCATACAATGATATTATTCCATTTTATAAGCTTTCTAAATCAATTTTTGGATATTCATGAATTTCTCCTTTAAAATTATTTCTAAGCGATTAATTATTTCAAATAATCATCTACATTTTAGGCATATTTTATAGTATTTTACCTAATTTTTATATAATTATATTTTCACTTTTACACTATTAAAATATTATTTGCAATAATAGCCTATATTCTACAAACAGTTGCATTTGTTGCATTATTTAATAGTTCTTCTTATGTGGTGTTAACTGACGCGAAGCATAAGCAATAACTCTACCCTCCTACATCAACATGCACCTAATGGTAATTCGATAAGCCTCACAATAGGCTGTATAAGAACTCGTGCAAAACCAGAACTAGAGTTGTGGTCAAGGCAGTCTTGAGTTTCTAAAAGCTCTCCTCACACTCATCAGACCACCTGAATGGGGAACCCTTATGCGTTAATCTAGTCAATAGGAGTGTTATAGATGATAACCCCTTCACAAAATAGCGATAATACCCGGCCAACCCGAGGAAACTCTAGATCTCAGTAGCAGAAGGCGGTCTGGGCCAACTCTAAACTCTCTCAATATTCTTCAAAATGTTAGTCCCCTCAATGGATATTACATGAACCAAGAATGCAACCGAATCAAGCTAAAACTCACATTGGATAATTTAGCATATAGCTTATTCTCCCTCAAAGTCTAGAGCAGAATCCTCAAATGCTGGTCATGATCATCCCAGCTACGAGAATACACCAATATATAATCAATAAAAACTATGAGAAAAGAATCAAGATAAGGCTGAAATGCGCAGTTCATCCAGTGCATAAAAGTTGTTGGGGCATTGGTCCGCCCAAAAGACATCACCAGAAATTCATAGTGACTGTAACGGGTCCTGAAAATTGACTTCGAAGTATCTGAAGCTCGGATCTTCAACTGATGGTACGCCGATCTTAAATCAATCTTCGACAATACTCTTGCACCCCGAAGCTGATCAAATAAATCATCAATATACGATAGTGGGTACTTGTTTTTGACAGTAACTTTGTTCAGCTGCCTGTAGTCAATGCACATTCTCATAGAAACATCTTTCTTCTTCACAAATATTACCAGTGTATCCTAATGTGACAGACTAAGTCTGATGAATCCCTTATCAAGCAACTCTTGTAACTGTTCCTTCAATTCCTTCAACATTACTAGTGCCATGCGATACAGTGGAATAGAGATAGGCTGAGTGTCCGGCACCAAATCAATACCAATATCAATATCTTTGTCGAGTGGCACGCTTGACAAGTCTATCGGAAACACATATAGGAACTCCCACTACTGGAATTGACTCAACAGTAGGAGTGCCAGCACTAACATCCCTCACAAAAACCAAATATGCCAAACACCCATTCTCAACCATCCGTTGAGCCTTCAGAGATGAAATCACTCTATTAGGAGTGTGACTAAGAGAACCTCTCCACTCCAAACTTGGTAAACCCAGCAGCATCCATGTCACAGTCTTAGCGTGACAATCATGAATATCATGGTACGGAGATAGCCAATCCATACCCAAAATCACTTCTTAATCAACCATGTTAAGTAGTAAAAGAACAACTCTGGTCTCATAACCCTCAATGGTAACCACACACGGCCGCTATACACGATCCAGCATAATAGAATTACCCACTAGTGTAGATACATGAACAAGCATATCTAAAGAAACAAGAGGCATATCCAAATAATGAGAAAAATAGGATGACACATAAGAGTAAGTGAAAACAGGGTCAAATAACATTGAAGCATCCCTGTGGCACATTGAAACAATACATGTGATCACGACATCGGAAGAAACTACCTCTGGCCTAGTAATGCATAGCGACGGGCTTGAACTCTCCCCAGGGTGACCTCAAACCGATGCCCCACCCCTAGCTGGCTATGCGAGTGGTGTAGCTACTGGTGCTGATATCATAGGTTGCATCTTCTACCGTGGAACTCTACTCAGAAGCCTGGGGCAATCCCTCTTGAGATGATTCAAGTCTCCACACTCGTAGAAACCCCTCATATAAGGCTGGTGACCCTGATAACCCGGAGAAATGCCTATGGACCCTGAGCAGATGGAGCACGGTAAGAACTCTGTGCCGCATCTCACTAAATAATGACTGAACTGGGCGAGCATTGTATGAGCTATTGCTAGCTGATGAACCACGAGGAATATGACAAGTGTTGACGGCCAATTTTGATCCTCCCTTTTTAAAATTAATTTTTTCACGCTTAACAACTCACAATATATACTTTGAAGGTATTTTTTCTATGAATATATATTTTATAAATTAATTAAGTAGTAGTTTCAAAACCAATCACATAGTACTAATATTGTGTAATTACAAATGTATTTACCATTATAAAAATAACTTTTGTATATGCATTACATAAGCTTTATAATTTGACAAAATTACTCCTTAATTTCCAATGAATTAGGTTACTACATTAATATTTTTTGAAATTAGTGCTATAATTCAAAATATGCGTCATTTATAGATAATTGATTAATAATTAGTAGTACATATAATAATTATAATTTTGCCACATTTATTGGAAATTGCTAAGTCTATTCCAATTAATTTCAAAAATGGATTAAAGACAAAAAGGCTACCATTGCAATTCTCAACCAAATACAAATTGGTTATTAGTTAAATCATTTTCGGCCCAAATGTGCAAGCCCAAACGGAAAACAACCCAGTCTAAACAACCCATCCCCTTCCAACTTGGAAATCCATGCCATCCTCATTGAACCAACCAAGACACAACAAATCACCCGCTAATCCCACTCACAAAACAAACACAAGAAATCTGAACCGTTGATTCAAATAATCAACGGTCACAAATTATCCCTATTTTTCGTTTAATCTCGACCCACTATCAGAAATTATCTCAACCGTAGGATCACACAGATCCAACGGTCCCCATATTTTCCTAAAATTGTTTTTCTTAAATATCTAATGCCTCGATTTATTAGCGCTGTTGATCAAAAGATCCAACGGCCCAGATCTCCCAGCCGCCTCACCTCCCTCTTTCCTCGTCTTCTCTCTTTTCACTCGAGCATACAGACCCGTCAATCACCTGAGCCTTACACAAATTCGTGCAAGGCCATGAACCCATCAATAAGTCATCCATCTTGTCTTCCTTATCCGCGATTCTCATTTAACATTCCCTTTTTCAATCACAAATTCAAACCACCCAAATTTCTAAAACCCTAAGCTCAAATGTGAAAGCTTAAATCGCCTGAGCTCTATTACAATACTTCAAATCAAAGCCTGGAATTATCTCTCTATCCCTGCTACACCACGATTCCTGCTGAAATTCCCTTTTCAATCATAGAATTCAAAACCCTTCGAGTCTAAAAACCCTAGAATAAAAATGGAACTTCAAATCGATAAAACACTCTCTCACTCTATCAAGTCGGAGCATGCATGGTGATTTTTCAGAGGGTTCATCGTGAGGATTATTTACCCAGAGATCAAACGCAGTGAACTCTAGTCTTATGCTTAACGGATGGTTTCTTGTGCTTCAACGTTCAATGACTCACTCCACTCCAGTACTTAGTTAAAATCATTAATGTATCCCCCTACCTCTGTCTTATGATTTTCACTCGATTAGCTATCACCATCTACCATCCGTCACTCTCCACTACTTATTTTGAATTCATGAAGCCCTGAGCATTGAATGCCACCATAAAAAGGAGGTCTTTAATGTTCTCACCAACACACAATCTAACATCAACAGCAGAACAACCTGACACTGAATACACAGTCACAAACACTAAGAAAATTAGGGTTTCTGGTATTAGGTCTCTTACTGTTTTTCTCTCTTTTTTCGAGTTTCTTTTGCTGGTTCGAGTTTGAAAGTTCTGGGATCTTTGAGCAACAAAGGAATTCGTTTGGCTTGCTGCCCTTAAGAAGGTCGGCACCTTTCTCTTCCTTTTCTTTTGTTCATCTCTCTAAATGATTTAGATATGTCAATGTTAAGTTCTTTAGATTACAATTATGTTGTATGTGTTTGACATGTTTTATAGTTATGTTTTTCTTGTGTAATAATCCTTTATGATTAGTATGTTCTTGTATGATTCCTTAAGTGATAATCGAGTAGGTGAATGATAATTATTGATCTTTGTTTTGAGCTTTCTTGCAGTCGCCATGCCTAAATTCTTTTATGTTTATGTTCAAAGTAAACTTCTTAGTTATTGAAACTTGAACTAGATCGAGACTTGTATCCCTTTTCCAAAACCTTAAGTTTAAACTTACAATGTCTAAATACTTTCTTGTCTACCTTTGTTTGGGTCAGGGGTCGTTGGGCTAAGGATCTGGGATCCTTGTGCCTGGTGTTTGGGCCATTTGGGTTCGAATTTGGACTTAATTTTGGATTGGGATTAAAACAAGTAAAAAGTTATAACGACCCGGCCGGTCGTTTTGAGAGTAATAGCCCCGATCCCCTATTTACTGCTTCCCCCGTATCTTTTTCTGCTTATGTGACTTGCCGGGAGGTTCTGTTTTTGGTTCGGAGTATTTCGGGACACTTAGTCCCTAAAACGAAAGCTTAAGTTCTAGGATTTTGACCGTAGTTAGAATTATGTGAAGATGGCTCCGGAATGAGGTTTCATCGGTTCCGTTTGCTCCGTTGAGTGATTTTGGACTTATGGACGCATCCGGATTGTGTTTTGGAGGTCTGTAGGTGAATTAGGCTTGAAATAGCAAAAGTTGAATTTTAAGGAAATTTGACTAGAAGTTGAATTTTTGATATCGGGGTCGGATTCCGATTCTGGATGTTGGAGTAGGTCTGTAATGTTGAATATGACTTGTGTGCAAAATTTGAGGCCAATCGGACGTGATTTGATAGGTTTCGGCATCGGTTGTAGAAGTTTGAAATTTCAAAGTTCATTAAGTTTGAATTGGAGGGTGATTCGTGATATTAGCATTGTTTGACGTGATTTGAGGGCTCGACTAAGTCTGTATGATGTTTTAGGACTTGTTGGTATATTTGGTTGAGGTCCCAGGGCCCTCGGGTGGATTCCGGGTGGTTAACGGACAAATATTAGACTTGTGAAAGTTGCAGATTTTCTGGTGTTTCCAGTTACTGGTTTCCTTCATCGCGTTCGCGAGGGGAGTCCCGCAGTTGCGAAGAAGATCTGGAGGCAGGAGGAAAATTGTTCTTCTCGTTCGTGAAGTGGGGGCCATGTTCGTGAAGGTATGTTCAGCAGTGCATCGCGAACGCGTGAAGGGCATCGCATTCGCGTAGAGGAAGTAGAGCAGCTGGGACCCAAGGCTTTGTTCTACGCATTCGCATAGTGGAGAACTCGTTCGCGAAGCAGTAGGCAGTGGAAGCTGCGCGCTCGGAAAGGAGGGATTTTTGGTCAGTGATTAATTGTTTAACGCGAACGTGAGGGTGTGGCTGCGTTCGCGAAGAAGGAAATACCTCGGCAGCCTATAACATTTCAAAAACGAGGGTTTAGCCATTTTTATCAAAACTTGAAATAGAGAGCTCGGATTTGGACGAAATTTCGAGGGATTTTCAGAGGACGCTATTGGGTAACGATTCTTGACTCCTTTATGGTTATATTCCATTAATCTATAGTTAATTACACCCTTTAATCTCGGATTTGGGTTGAAAAAATTTTTGGGAAAATGTGAAAAGTTCTTCAACCGATTTTTTGAGTTTTGATTGGGATTTTGATATCAGATATGGATAATTTTGGTACAAGTGAACTCATGAGTGAATGGGTGTTCATATTTTGTTACTTTAACCCGATTCCGAGATGTGGGCCCGGGTAGATTTTCTAATTTCTTACTTAAACCTTGATTTTATTAATTATGTAATTGCTTTTGGCTAGATTTGGGACATTCAGAGTCGGAAAAATCGTGGAAAAGGCTTTCTTACTGATTGACTGAGCTTGTTTCGAGGTAAGTGGCTTGCCTAACCTTTTGTGGGGAAAATCCCCTTAGGATTTGGTTCTGTTGTGATATGTGAGGGCCGTGTACGTGAGGTGACGAGTGCGTACACGGGCTATTTGTGGTAAAATACAATTTTTACTG